TGGGGTGGGGCTTCGTAAGCCGTGCAATCATGCAGCCGGTCACGCGGCAACATGCTGCGTAACCAGCAGTCTCCACCCATAATGTTGAGCAGTAAAGACAAAGCGGGAAAGCAATGATCTGGGTGAGGCAGCGGTCAAGCACAGGCTTCAATCGCGTAGAATACAGCAGTACAGGCCTGATCCACGAAAGTACCAAGGGAACGCAAAACACGACTACGGGGAAGTTCTTCAGAACAATTTGAGGCAGTCCCCTCCGATTAGTCAGCTCAAGCGCGGGAATCAAAAAGGGAGCTAGCCTGTGTTGATGCGCTCAATTATAGTCCTATTGGTGTGGGAAGCCAGCAGCTGCACCAGCAACCATGCCTGGTGCTGCTTGCGGAGGGTGGGCGGTGCTGAAGTCCAAACCGGTAGCCAGCGCATGATGATCCATTTGCTGGGTTGTAATTAGATTGTAATTGATGTTAGTTGGAGGTTGGTGACTTGACAAAGCACCCGCTGGGTTGCCGGCACCGAGCATTCGGTTGTTGTTGTGACCGACCGCGCCAGTCGAACTGCGCACATTATTTGTTCCTACACCGCTACCGCCGGGACGACTCCGGAATTGATTCGGTTGCATGTTTGGGAACGCACCTGTAACAGAAGCGTTCTTAAATAAGTTGAATACGAAACCCATGACAAAGAGCACAGTGAAGTTCTTTTTTAAGACAAGTCCAAGCTTAGAAACACGGAGCAATAACTGTGACATTCCATGTGCATGTTTTCACCGACAATTTTATTATGAATAAACACTAGTGTCTTATAATAAGCGATGCATTGAGCTTCAACAATAAGGCCTGAATACTGCGTGATACAATTGATAAGGCTATATATATATATATATATATATATATACATATATATATATATAAGCCTCAAATTAGTATATCATGTAACCTTGGAAAAGAGACCATCGTTTACCAACTCACGGCGAACGCGATTTCGGAGTTACTGACTTCTTCGAAGATACAAAGGAAGTTGTTTACCACAAGGATTCCTTTTCTCGATCGGTTTTAGCACCAGTGAACAAGACCAATTAAAATTTTGAACAATCACTGTTGTCCGAGAACTGTCATACACTACCTTGACCCTCTCCATACAGAATTTTGTGCCTTCTCGGAGTAGTTCGGTAATTCTTTCGCACCTCGGCCGAGACTTATGGTGCCCCTGGCAAGAATGTACTTAAAAAGACTTGTTGGGTTCATATCTGA